CGCGAACCGGTCCTTAATTGTCATGAGCACGACTCTCAAAACCATGTGCTCACAACCCACCATTATCAAGTTTTAGTTGGCAAGTAATTAATTAACCAATCACGATTAACCATCGTGAACTATCATTAAGCCATCATTAAATAATAATGAGTCATAAGTTATCCCAATAGTGTGCTAATGTTTCTAAGCATGGCTAAGCAATCATATCTAATATCTAGCTGAACCAATATATATAGCTCAACTAGTCAAGTTATAATAACCCAAGGTATCAAGGAATAAAGTAATCAATGCAAACAGGCCATAACAAAGGAATAGATTCACACCACCCAGTGACATTCGAAAACAAATGCACAGTTGAAATAAATAGAGAATTTAAATATAGGATCAACATGCTCAAAGGATTGTGTTTAGGATCTGTGTGACTTGCCTTGCAATAATCGGTCTTCAAATAATCTTCTTGAACACTTCCGACGCACTCGCGAACCTTCGCAACGACGGAAACGACAAGCTAACACGCAAAACGAAGAAAAAGACTAATAAAAACCAAATAAACAATACATAAAAAGTAAACAAACATGTAGATCATAATTTTAGATGAATTATGAGACTTGAACGGCCTCATTCTGACTTCAAATGAATTTATTATGAATTTTACAAGATTAAATCTAATTAAAGCCCATTTAAAAAGAATTAAATAAATTTAATTCAATTTATGGACAATTTTAATATGTAGATCTTTATTTTATACAACTTTTGCAACTTGAACCACATTAAACTGAGTTAAGATGAATTAGTTATGAATTTTTAAAGATTAAATCGGATTAAAACACTTATATGGATTTTAATTGAATTATGACGCAATAATGAATTATTTTTGAAAAGGAAAAGAAGGATTATTGCGTCAGCGGCTAGGGTTTGCGGTGGACCGGGTGCACGGCGGCGGTTCACGGGAACGGACGGCCGAGATCGATCCATCCAAAACGGACGGCCGAGATCGATCGGTCCACGACTGGCTCACGGGAGAGGGCGACGATGACGTCAGCACCGGCGGCGGCTCGGGAGCGCAAGCTCGCCGGCGAACGACGGCGCGAGGACGCAAACGGAAGGCACCAACGGGTAGAGGGCGACTCGGCGAACTCACCGGTGACCAAAACAACGGCGGAAGGGCAACGGACGGCGCCGGCGACGAGGAAAAGCGGCGGCGGTCTTCGGGTCGACGGTGACGGCGGTGCTCCGGTGGTCTTCGGCGGCGGCGAAGGGGCGGACGAGGACGGCGACGCTACGGCGACCACGACGGCGGTCTTCCCGAGCGACGGCGACGTCTGGAACGGCGGCGGCGCGCGGCTGGAGCGACGGCGGCGACGGCGGCGCTAGGCTACACGGCGCTAGAGCGCTTCCGACGGCGAGAGACGAAGGCGAGGGTGGCGGCGGGTAGAGGAGACACCGGGGATCCTTTTATAGGGGTTGGAAGGCGGCGGCGAAGGCCCACGGCGACCGGCGACGAGAAGGAAAGGTAGGGTTCGGAGGAGAGAAGTCGATCCGATTCGAGATCGAATCCACGAGTTTCCAAACCGAATTAGGTGATGATTCCAAAAGAGAAAAGGAAGAGGAGATCGAGAGGATCATTTCCCCTCTATCAATTCGGCCGGAGATGGAAAGGAGCGACGGAATTTGGAAAGAGACGGCGGCGCGGCTCGGCGGCGCGGCTCGGCGGCGGCGGCCGAAGGAAGACGACGGGTCTGACAGGCGGGCCCCACCTGTCAGTGACAGAGAGAGAGAAGAGAGCGGCGGCTCGTCGGACTGGGCCGGACTGGGCCGAGGGAGAGAGAGAGAGAGATTTTGGGCCGGCTTTCGGCCCAAAGCCAAAAGAGACTTTTAAAAACCTTTTTCAATTTAAATTATTCATGAAATGCAATTCTATTTATTAAAAATACTTCCTTAGCTCAAATAAATCCCAGAAAAATCTAGGAATTATAGAATTAAGCAAAGTATTTAATGAAATTTTATCTGGCCCCATTTTATATTGAGATTTAGCAAATTAAAAAAAAGATCTTCTCTTCTAGGCTTTTGAAATCATTTCTAATAATTCCTTTTAAACAACAATTTATAATTTAAGGATTTTAAACAAGAAAAGCACTTAACAATTATAATTAGATCATTAATGATCAAATAATTACTGAACTGTTCTTTGTATCATTTAGGAATTGAGCTCTGAAAAATCCGAGAAAATTTCAGAGAGTTTACTTAATCATGGAGAATTTAATAAAAATTAAATCCATCCATGCTTTATATTTAGGAAATTTTATTTCCCACATTTAACTTCACTTGTAAATTAAAGAACATTTAATATAAATTCTATTATTAATTTATTAAATAATTTATAAATCCTGAAACAAAAATCAGGATGTGATAGTTTTCCTCACGGCACAAAATCCTCGCCTCTCCCAAGTCATCTTCTTGCCTTGCTCGCGTTTCTCAATTATTTTCCCTCTCTCTTTTTCTTAAGTGGTTTTTCCATCTTTCTCTTAATGGTCGATAGTAGGTACTAACAAAGGGGAAAAAGATATTGCTGCTAACTAAACGAAGTAAAATAAATGACCCAGAAAAATAGTGAAAAATATATACTATAAACTTAACCTATTCACAATAAACATACACGACCTCACTAGTCACTAGTGCCTCTCAGGGTTGGACCCAGGATTGGCCCACGATTTGGGCCAGCCCATTATAGTTTGGACCATTACATGGTGAAAAAATAGACTTTATAATAGAGATTGCATCCTAGGCCTCGAGCCATGGACCGGGCGGCCCAAGGCCTGGGGTCCACCCCTGTTGCCTCCTAAAGTGTGGAGGTCGATGTGGTTGATCCCCGCGCTGATGGTGATGATGCAGCGGAGCGACGGGACGGCGTCGAGGAGCTCGGCGCCAACGCGGATGGGCCTGCCGCCGAAGACGAGGACGACGCGAGGTGGGTCGGCGTCGGCGGCCACCACGTTGAGTAATGCGTGGATGGAAGCGTCGGCGCCGAGGAGAGGGGAGAGAGAGGATACAGAGAGGGAGGAGGAGTGAGGATGACATGTGGGGCCATGTGGGTCCCACCATTTTTTTATTATTTTGTGTGTGGAACTGACATGTAGGTTCCACGAGTTTTATTATTTTTTCAGCTCGAATTGCCACTAAGCGCCACGTCAGATGAAGACCGAGTCAAATTAGCCACGTAGGCGCCACATCAGCCAAAACCGCCTTCAAAACCACCGAGGGACTTCATCTGCACCGGTTTTGATAGTTGAGGGACCCGTTGTGTCTGGTTTTCCGGTTGAGGGACGAAAATCGGATTCGTTGACAAGTTAAAGGACCTCAGATGAACTTATTCCCCTCCCCTAAAGACATGTACAATGGTCATTAACACGACATGATCTCTTAATGTTGCTAATTATGAATATTTGCTGACATGGAAAAGAGAAAGAAAAGAGATAAAATATTGCTACTGTAGGTAATAACTGCTCAGCAACAACTTTTATCCTCAATAAAATGAAAACATGGTTGTATGAGGATGAAAAAAAATGAAAATAATGGAATAAAACTATATTTTTTAATGATGGTTTGGGCTTGTTGTCGCAGCTATTAATCTTGTATGGTTTAAAAGACACTTGTCTCTGTCTTGCATTCCGCCATCATATTTGTTGCCAAGTTGACAACACCAGAAACCAGCCGCGTGGACGGTGGACAAGGACGAGCTTAAGGGAAGCCCAAAGGAATAGATGAGAGAGAGAGAGCAATAGTGTACTTAATGGAGATCGGGATGAAAGAAAAATGGTGTGCACGTGTGAGATGGTGATGACGACGGCAGCTAGCTAGTGCCGTGCGTGCATGTGGTTGTGGTGAGGATCGAGAGTGAGAGGGAAGGGAAGAGAGTGTATTTTTTGAGAATAGGCAAGAGAGTGTGTTGATTGTGTATGTGAGAGCCGTTCTCTTCGAGCTCAGGCTTAATTTGACAATGTATTGGTTGTGTTTGTGAGAGCCAGCGCTTCTCTTCGAGTTCAGGCCAAATTTTATAGCAGAAGCATGGATCGATCAGTGCCTGTCGCCGCCGCCGCCGCCAAAGTGATCAAACTACCTCCTTGCACCTCGTTGCCACTTGTAGATACACTAAAAGAATGTGAGGCCTTGTTGCTGGATGGGTGGGATATCAGCAAATTGAGCCGGCTCAATGAGAGGAGGCACAGTCAGTACAACAGTGGTGGGAGAGCATCGCAAACACGCCAAATGTTCCGAAGAAAGAACTCCGATCACTCATCCTACTAGTTGTATGGGAAATCTAGAAGGAAAGAAATCGGCGAATCTTTGACCACAAAGAGGTGGCAACGAGTTTCCTCCTGTCAAGAATTAAAGAAGAGGCTAGCCTTTGGGCTTTAGCAGGGGCTAAGCGGCTGCGCGAGTTAATCCCGCACTATGTATAGTGTATAGCTACAGTTCCTCGATTTTTTCCTGTTGTCCCTAGGGGTTGTATTTTCTCCTCCTCTATTCAATGAAAAGGCACTCTAGTGCTATTTTCCGTTAAAAAAAAACTACCTCCTGCTAATAAATGAGCAGACAGCCGGCCGGAAATCAGTCAGTTCACCAACAAATTGATCGTTCGGCTCGCTCACGCCCAAACCAAGAGTCCAAGATACAAGTACAACAATCCAGCCATACGCGCAGGTTATTAACTCAACTCCGGCCGTGTGGGCCTAATTAACAAGTGTAATAGGCTGCGCCCGCCCATGCATGAATAATTAATTAAGTAATTTGTGCCAACGGAAGTACGCCATCTCCATGAATATTGGGCTGACAATCAACAGTCATTTGCACACGAACCATACATATTTCTTCCTGTTCGTTTTGCATAATCTTGTGCTCATGAGCCTCATGCATGGACACCCAACAAGTGCCTCGATCATTGATCCCAAGATTAAACTGATTGTTCATTTGCACATCAACATCATTTCCGCTCAAGAGAGAAAAAAAAAACACTGAGGCACTTTTATGATATTAATGTGCACTATGTTGCAAGATCAATGTCTGCATGTATGAAAGATTTGTTTACATGTCACAGATGTTATATGTCTTCATTTTCAGCGCCAATAGAACATATGTTTCTCCATGATGCAGACTCAATGCAGAAAATCACTGCTGCCCAAATTTCGACTCCATCTCAGTGTTTTGTAATTCACCCTCTTTGTGCAGTTTTTCTTGCATTTCAACTAGCAGTTCCGGCCATTCACCGTATAGAGCTTCTTCGATCTTTTCCTCGGAATGTTCATATGGATGGGACCTGATATTCCGATTTAAGTGCAGAAACTCCTTAACAGTCTGGCCGTATCTCCGGCGCCAAAGCCATTTCCCTATCTCACTGTTTCCTGACGCTGTGCGAAGCCAGTCTGTGTCATACTTCAGGTGTGATAGAATGTATATCTTCTTTTTAGGATCTTTGCGGCCAAGATAGCCCATAATATGATTGTACATCATCATAAATGCATCCGTCCTACACATGTAGTAGAGATGCATACTGATGAAAAAAATGAACCCAAATAATGTAAACAATCACTTAATCATGAATAGAGCAAAATCACAAAAACATGTGCATGATGGACTTGTTTAATTGAAAGCAATTACACCCTACTGAAATTTCGGCAACTTTAGTACTATCACATATATGTTTGCTTTGCTACCAATTTTTTCCCGCACTAATACAAACTCTATATCTACTAGTACCAAACTTGTTAATAAGAACAATCAAATCATGAATAGAGCAAAATCACAGAAAAAGCGTTCGCGAAATCAATTTTACCCTACCAAATTTCAGCAATGTCGTTGCTTTCTTATCAATTTTCGCCACTAATATATATACTACCAAATTGGTTCGAACCAATGTAGCATGCGTAAATCATATTAACAAGACACGTGTATTTAGGTAGTACGAACTAAATAATAAGGACAACAGTAGCATAAATCATATTAGCTAGCAAGATACGTGTATTTAGCTAGTACTAACTACGAACTAAATAAGGACAGCAGTAGCAAACACAGTTTACTAAGCAAAACTTCATCTAGGTGTTACTTGAGTACTGATTTTGGATAACTTACTGGATCTAATTGAAGTAACTAAAGTATGTAAAAACATTCGGGTGTACCTGTTTGCCATGGGCAATAACGAAGCATGGTTGGTTATCAGAAATTCGTCATCAGGTTTGACTAGTCCTTTAAGCAAACCCAAGTATTTGCCAAAATCAGGAGGGATATTGGACAATCCATTTTGTCCGACAGATAACATGATCAACTCTTCCAGCACAACGGACATATACTGATAATCACATTTAATCCGATCAAAACTGAAATCATCATCTGCAAGGGTGACATTCCTGAGCTTAAGTTCACCCGAGACAATTACTAGATTTTGCACTGAGAGCGGGGCCAGGAGATAACGCTTCTGTTCGTGCAGAATTTTCAGAATCCTCGCAAGTCGCCGAATGAGTCTCACTGCTATATCCGACATTCTCCAGAATGTCTTCGCTGAGCCCAGTACATTCGCCTTAACAAGCATAGGATTTGCCTTGACATAAGTCTCAGCGTCAATTATCTCCTGATTACCGAATGATTCATCAATGTAGCATGCTGACGAGGAAGCCCCTTTTTCCTGCTCACTGGATGAATTAGTCTCAGATGAAGAGGAAGAAATCGCCGCTGCTGGTTGGCTGGGGATGGCCGCTGGTAAAGAGGTCGGCGAAGGCGTCTGTTGCCTTGAAGTCGACGAGCTGCGCTTCCCTGAACTTGAGAACATCTTCCTTATCACCAGCTGTTGCCACCGATTTCTCCGAGCTCGGACATGGCGAAACCTCTTGTCGGTGTCATCCAACATAAAACGAAAACCGCCGCTCATGCCATTGTTGCTCTTGCCAAAGCCGTGGTGGGTGCTCTCGAATTCGAAGATTCTTCTGCTGTGGGCGCAGCGGCGGCGGCGACGAAGAAATGCCGCGAGATCGGGGAGTATGCCGCCATCATCGCTCTCGAAGGGGTCGCCCACGCCGAAGCGCACCTGCTCTGCCGCGAACCACCAGGGAAGAGAAGGCGATGCAGCACCGCAGCGGCGGCGAGGGAACGGCGCGCCGCGGTGAGGGAACGGCGCGAGGTCGGCGAGGCAGCCGCAATCATTGCTCTCCCAGCCGAAGAAGTCGCCCGCGCCGATCACTTGAGCACCCCCCCGATTGACGAGTCGTCCGGGCGCTTGACTTGGAAGGTTCGAGTCGGCGGCGGCGGTGGTGGTGAGGTGGTGGCGGCGCCCCGCAATTTTGGAGACGACCTCCGCTCCCGGGCGGCGAGCGGCGCCGAGCCACCGGACCACTAGGGACATCTCCGGGAAGGCGTTTAACTCCTCGAGGAGGGAAGCCGCGGAGACTCGCCGCGCCGCCTCCGGTAGAACCGCCACGGCAGCGGAGGAGGGAGCCGCGGCGGCGGCGGTGGTGGTGAGGTGGTGGCGGCGCCCCGCAATTTTGGAGACGACCTCCGCTCCCGGGCGGCGAGCGGCGCCGAGCCACCGGACCACTAGGGACATCTCCGGGAAGGCGTTTAACTCCTCGAGGAGGGAAGCCGCGGAGACTCGCCGCGCCGCCTCCGGTAGAACCGCCACGGCAGCGGAGGAGGGAGCCGCGGCGGCGGCAAGCGTGGCCGCGGAGGAGGAAGAGGGAGCCGCGGCGGTGGCGAGCGTGGCCGCGGAGGAGGGAGCCGCGGCGGCGTGGCGAGCGGCGGAGGAAGAGGAAGCCGCGGCCGCGTGGCGAGCGGCGGCGGCGGCGAGCGTGGCCGCGGAGGAGGGAGCCGCGGCCGCGTGGCGAGCGGCAGCGGCGGCGAGCGGTAGTGCGGTGGTGAGCCACCGGAGAACCATTTCGGCGAGCACGGCGAGCACGAGCGCCACAGCCCGCAGGAGTTCGAATACATTTGTCTACTTAAAACACCGGGATTGCCGGAGAGTTAGTTAGGGGTGCCACGTTCACTTTTGCAAAAAGGCCCCCTCTGTTCTGTTAATTACACATTGGTCCTTCCTCTGTCACAAAATATTTAAGGGAAAATTGCAAAAACCACCCCAAATATCACTCTAAGTTTGAGATGCCCCCTATAAGAAGATTTGTTGCAAATCCACACGTCCTAATTCACCTTGCTTTGATTTAGGCACCTTCTCTCTACACATGCGTGATTCCTGGAGCATCTCGTGGCGAAATTAGCCAAGTTCCACTCATCGTGATGATTTGTCAACAAGTCTCTTTTGCATTAGATTGTGTGGCCTTAATTTCTGATTAAACTGTAATGAAACCTGCTGTTTTGGGTCATCTGACCAATTGCAACAGATGAAGTCATGTAGTTATAATCTGGCTATATGATTACTGCTTCATGCTTAAATGTTTCTATATGCCCATTACATTCTAAAAAACGGATATGTTGTTCAGTACACATGATATTAGTTTGGAATATATAGCTAGTATATCATGAAAAACACAATGAAATGGCCATGATAACGCAACGAAATGATCGTCTTATATAGAAAACAACATAATCTCTTGCTCCCGCTGAGTGGGACTCGGTTGATTTCGCCACGAGATTATTTAGGAATCACGCGTGTGTGGAGAGAATGTGCCTAAATCAAACCAAGGTTTAGGAGGTGGGTATTTGCAATAAATCTTCTTATGGAGAGGCATCTCAAACTCAGAGTGATATTTGGATGGTTTTTATAATTTTCCCAATATTTAACGCCGTTGACTTTTTAAAATATATTGGACTTTTTTAAACATGTTTGACCGTTCGTTTTTAAATTGCACGTTAGATGTCACTTTTTGAAACATGTTTGACTTTAAATTGCTCGTACAAAGAATAATAACAATTTGAACAAAACTCGTACATAGCATTGTGCTTCACAAACAAAGACAGATCATTCTTAACAGGCAGACTATGAGACCAATCAACAAAATAACACATGTTCCTATGAGACACGAAACCACCGAGCTTGTAGTTCAACAAGATGAAGCTGGAATGACATGCTACCGAGCTTGTAGTTCAACAAGATGAAGCTGGAATGACATGCTACGTTGTTATCTCCTTGTTGATGGCTTCCCTTTCCCGACATTCGATCCAGTGCTCTCATTGCCCTTCTTGATGAAACCAGTCAGAACCTTCTTTGCCTTTGACCATTGCTTTTCTGACTCTGAATTTCTCATGAACGGACACACTTCACCAATAGTGATCTTTGGAACCACCCTCTCCTTTTCCAGCTTATTATTCTCCTTACGCTCACTAGACAGCATTGCCATGGAACTTGTAGGCATCTTCTGCTCAGGCAAGAGCTGAGTTGCAGCTTCCGAGGGTTTCAAAGATTTCCCGCTTGGTTTCACTTTCGTCCTGGACTCAGCATGTGAAGCAGAGGCCTCGGTAGCATTTGAAACTTTTGGTGGTGCTGGATTGGTGTTTGGCAATATTTGTGATAGACTGAAAGATGCACTCCCCATGCCACCAACAAGATCCCTCCAGGCAGATTTCTGAGTCCACAAGGAAACTCTTTTAGGTTCACTAGCAAGCGAATTTTGTTCACTCCCATTTCTGGTAGAAGAATCTGCTAGTGCTTCAACATCTTGGACACTAGCAGAACTTTTATCTCCATCGAGTTCTGATGAGAACTCATGTGTACCTTTTCCTGACAAATCTGAAGATTTTTGTTCATTTTGGATGGCTCCTGATATAGCAGGGAAAGACTGTTTCCTATTTCTAGTTTCAGAGAAATCAGAGGATTTATGCCTCTTCTGCAGAGAAGATTCTTCAAATTGTTGACGTTTTCTGAAGCGCGAGTCCTGAAAATGCAGAAAATGTTAATGAACATAACTGCACAACAGAGTAGTTCATCACAGAATAATGTTCGAAATACTTGCAATGTGCATACCTTATCCGCTGCTTGCTTTTCGCTATTCAATTGTGCTACAGAGCTTTTTGGCTTGCAAGTCACGATGTTAAGCACGAGATCATCCAATTCTTCCTCAGAAGGATCTTCTGTTTCTTCCATTTGGTCATCCAAATCTTCCTCAGAAGTTTCTTCTCTTTTATCCATTTGCAACTCATTCCTGGCGTTAGAGGGTTCCGCGGCATCAAAATCGACACCATGATTCTGAATTTCCATTGAATCTAAATGGTCATTCTCCTTCTCAAAGAGCTTGCTCATCACAGAATTCATAATACTGCGCTCCTTTTCATATGCAGCAGCATCAAGAACAGAAGCATATTCATCATTAGCTGCCTCTGGAGGTCCACAGTGCTCCTCACAGTCACAAAAATGAATTGGGTAAGAAGGGACTTCGATATGCCGGAAACTGTATTTGTGCTTTCCAGTGCCTTTAAAAGGCAAGGCTTTCACCTGTCAAGTGAAATCTTGATTAGGTCAATGCATGTTTAGGAATTAATCGACATATTGAATAAACATTGTCAATACATATCACCTCTTCATTTTTTACAAGCATAGTTTCAATGGGATGTGTATCCAAGTAAGTTTATGTAAGGAGTTAATGTATACCCAGTTTCTGATTCAGTTCTTAATTCAACAATTGATCTTAAAAATTACACCTGCTTAGTTTAGCCCAAATTCTGAAAGACAAAAGATATGATTAGCATGTCTGATAAAAGGATGCAGTTTACACTAATGTAAAATATAGAGAAAACCTAAAGTTCACAAAGATCATGTTATTCTGCATATTAATGGATGGAATACAATTTACTTGTTCAGTCACACCCATTCAGGAATCAGGACTAAGTGGCTATAGAGCACATAATGATGCATGAACAGCATAAGTGCTGAGCATAAGAAAAGTTTCTCACAGCCTGACCAATTGCTCACCTTCCTCAGTTTTGGGAAGTAGATGTTAATCTTCGTACTATCCAAAACAGCCTTATTCAGCTCGAGCTTCTCCTTCTTGCTCTCCACATCAGCACTAGCTGGCATTTCCTGCGCCGCTGCCGCTTCCTGCTCCCATTCACGCTTCAGGCGAGTAAGGTAGTGCTCCTTAGCCTTCTCCAGCCTAAGTTTTCCCCCTTTCCACTTACACCCATTGTACTGCACACAAGCATCAGTCTCAAACAGTCTTAGGCCAACAACAATTCAGCAAGCATGGCACAAATCATAATAGGTAAAATCATCTAATAAATCCAAAATTAATCGTAATTTGATCTCCACTAGTACACACTAGGATTCCTACCACGAACAGACATAAGCTAGAAATCGAATTGTTGATGGCTGCTACTGGAGTGGAGAGACGAGAAGATTGGGGGGGGGCGATGCGTACGGTGGAGAAGAGCTTGGCGAGAGCCTTGTCGGAGGGGCAGTGGAAGTCGACGTAGGCGAAGCTGCGGCCGTTGGTGCGCACGAACTCGACGCCGGCGACGCGGCCGACGGAGGCGAACATGGCCTCCAGGTCGGCGGCCGCCACGCCCTCCGAAATACCACCCACGAAGATCCGCGCCACGGCACCACCGCCGCCTCCCTCCTCCACCGCCGCCGCCGCCATGGGAACAGAGTACGGAAGCACCGCGGATGGACGGCGGAAGGCGATGGGCGCCAGGCGGAGGGCAGACGAGGATGGAGACAGAGACAGGGGAGGCCGAGGCGGGCCTGCGACCGGCGACGGCGGCGGCGGCGGCGGCGATGGCCGGCGAGCGACGCGCGAGTGCGGACAACTACGAAGGGGAATCGCTTGTCAATCGTGTGACCTAGCGGGCTAGCGGGCTGTATCGTTAGACTGCCTGCTTCATGGGCCGGCCCATATAGCGATATGGGCTACTGGGCTTGGTTTTGGCCATTTATGTGGACTGCTGGATGGACGGTCTGCTGTGCATTAAACATAGTTCGTCAACAATTTAAGATGCCAAATTGCGCAGATCAAACAATTTAGGCAAACAGTGTGATCATCAGTTCAAAAAAAAAGGTCTAATTATAAGTTTGCAAGCTATTCTGCATATACAAACATGTAAGTGCAAATGCGTATGCAAAGAGACGGGTTTGAACAACTTGACAAGGAGATGTGTACTTAATCCAATCTTAAATTTAACTCGGGATTTCGCACTACGTAGGGAGCTGGCTACATCAAGCTAACTCGGTGTTGTTAGAGACCTAATGCAACTGTACAGTATACAGTATGGACCGGACTTGTGTTCATCCGTATCACGATTCAGTTGACAGGTCCGACGCCATGGTTCTTCAGTTAATCTGGGCCGGCATGCACGTTTGTTCCAAGCTAATCACTTGTTTGCTTCTAAATCATCCATTCTGTAATGCTTGATTGCTTCCTTGACGGATTCACGCGTGTCTTAGCTGCTAATCTGCTTGGTGAAGCAGCATAATACATCTCGAGTCATTGGCCATCTTCTCCGTCCTTGATTAGGTTGCAGATGTCCGAGCATTCCAGAAGGCTACACATGCACAAGATGAAGATGAACTGATGCTTTTCTTTTCTTTTCTTTTTTTGCGTGTGAATTGATGAGGATTTGCATGCGAATTGAAACAGGAAAATTGCGTGTACCAGTACTGACGGCTGCGAAAATCCTCCTTGAACACCACCAGTGGTCTGCATATATTTCGATCCATCCATGAACGGAGCAGAAGGAATTAGTTGAAGAGATCAGCAGAAGCATTGAAGTGTTCATCTCGTTAACTCTGAATGATTGATTAGTTAAGATCGACAAGATAAGGCGACCAATGAAGCTACCTCCTGATGTTGAAGGGGCCGTCGACGCCGGGCGAGCCGGCGCCGCCGAGGACGCAGGTGCTGACGCACTTGGAGGTGCACCGCATGGCGCTCGCCGACTTTGGGTGCTTTATCTTCTCCGCCTGCTTGTCCTCCCCCGACAGCGTCGGCGGCACGTTGCACAGCGTGCTCGCCGCGCCGCCCTCCGCCGCCGCCTCCTCCTGCGGAGCCGGATCAGCAGCAGCCGCCGCCGCCGTCGCTGGCGACGTCGACGCCGCGAGCACGGCGGCCAGCGCCACCACCGCCGGCGCCTGCAGCATCCTGATCACCACGCCGTGCCACGCCGGCGGCGGCGGCGGCACAAGCCACGGCCGCATTCTTATTCTTCTTCGCGCGGTTTCTGTACGTCTAGCTTGTCTCGTCGAGCTCGGCGGCGGCGGCGGCGGCGGCCATGGTCATGAGAGGCTCGAACTCGGAAGCGAAGCTATTAGTTTACTGGTTCGTTTGGCCCGGGCCCACCGGGATCCAGTGGGGCCCACATCGAGGCCATTCTGTGGAGGGAGAAGGCAGCAGAGGCATTTCCCAAGGGTGGATAGCCTCAGGCTTTAGTGAGCCTACGTGGACTCTCCACAGCCCAACTGCATCTCTTCCCTGGTAGAGTCTTCTACTGTTCTTCCAGTCCAGGCAGATTTGGGACAATTCCTCTATGTTTCATGTAAAAAAGAAAAAAAAGAAAAACACAATCCAGAAAATTTTGAAATTATACTTTTGAATTTTTTGTCTCAGAAATATATAAGATTTGAATGGATTTACACGAATACACCGTTGTTGCGGTTCGGTAGTGCGAAATCACGAGACCAACGCGCGAAGGTCTCGTAAGGCGAGAGCGTGAGAACGTTCAGTCTCGCTGGTTGGCCAAGCGAGATGGCTCGAGTTGACGCTAATGTAACTAATCATACTGATTAGTGATTAATTTAATTACTAACGATGTTAATTAAAATAATAATAATTGATTAATTGCTAATTGCACTAATTAATCTATTAGTCGCGTGAGATCGCGCCGTCTCACACTTACATTCTGCGACAGTGGTATACTTCTGCTATTCACTTCTAAACGTGTATATTCCTATTAAATCATCGGGCAAAAAGGTGTATTTTAATATATTTTTTCCCGGGAGTACTCCACATCTATTATATTATTAAAAGGATAGAAAAAAGAATCTCCACGTTCGCTCTCATGGCCTACAAATTCTCACATTAAGAGTCCATATCTATCTATCTACTACTACTTAAAAAATAAGAGGTGCTTCCATCGTCCGTTAAAAAAACCGGGTGAAAAAAACCGAACAGAAAAAACCATGTTTGTCCGATAAAAAACCGGAATGGAAAAAAGAAGTCCGATCCAGAAGAAAAAAGGGGCGAAAAAAACCAAAAAAAACGGACGGAAAAAAACCAGGTTTGTCCGATAAAAAAAACCAAAAAAAAAATCCGACTCCTGTATCCGGATATAGATTCACTGTTACAAACAAAAACTGACTCAGATTGGTGAAAAAAAAATTAATGTGCCGGATTGAAGATCTGTTTGCAAAAACGGAATCTACATGTTGAGAGCATTCTATTTTTATATGATTTTAATTTTTGGATTTATACTTTTATATTTGAGTCCCTGTAATTTTATATTTACATTTGAGTCCCTATAATCTTGCAACAAGCTACTTGAGGTCGTTTTTGTTAAAAAAAATAATAAAAGAGAAAGAGAACAAAGGCAAAGGTGCATAAAAAGAAAAAGAAAAGCCAAAAAAAAAGTCTGACTCAGATTGGTGAAAAAAATTGATGTGCCAGAGATCTGTTTGCAAAAATAGAATCTACATGTCGAGAGCATTCCATTTTTATATGATTTTAATTTTTGGATTTGTACTTTTATATTTGAGTCCCTATATTTTTTATATTTACATTTGAGTCCCTATAATCTTGCAACAAGCTACTTGAGGTCGTTTTTGTTAAAAAATAATAAAAGAGAAAGAGAACAAAGACAGAAAGAAAGGTGCATAAAAGGAAAAAAGAAAAACCGCACAATAAAGAAAATAAAGAAAAACAACAACAACAAAAGTTTTTTCCCTGAGTGGTGAAAAAAACTGTAGATCCGACGGAAAACAAAATCTGATTCATATAAAAGGCAAAAAAAAAAGTGGTGACAAAAAAACGCTAGATCCGAATCCTTTAAAAACGGAAAAAAAAAGTCTGATTCCTATAGAGGCAAAAAAACATCTAAAAAAGTCCGTTCGATTCCCTAAGAAAATGGTGAAAAAATGGTTCGTAAAAAATAAAAAGCTGGTTCGTATAAAATAAAAAATGCAAGAGAGAAAAAAATGGAAAGGGCGAAACCAAATCTGATTTCTAACCAGTATATATCTCTTCTCTATCTCTAATCTAACTATTTAAAAAGAGAAAATGCATGAGAAAATAAAAAAGGTTAAAATAACGTGTGGGGCAAAAGTCAGAAAAAAAGCGCAAAAAACACACTAAAAAGGTTCTCCATCATCAATAAAAAAAATAAAAAGACGCGCGAGAAAAATTATTTCCATTGTCGGTAAAATATTTAAAAAAAAACATGCGAGGAAAAAACTATCGAAAAAACACACCATTTCTAAAAAAAATGGTTTTAAAAAACCGGGCAAGAAAAAAATACCGTCTATTAAAAAATCGCTCTGAAAAAACTGTCAGAAAAAAGCTAAATTGATGGACGCTTGAGTCGGATAGGATACATCGATTTTTTGCCATCTACTACATGGCTTTATTTTGTCATATATTCTCCTGTGTTGGAAAAAAGCAAAAAAGAACCTTCGAAAAAAAACAAGCAAAAAAACGTGCGAGAAAACAAGAAAAAAAAACACACGAGAAAAGAAAAGCAAAAAAAGGGAGAAAAATATGGTTTTCTTCATAAGTAAAAAAAGAAAAAAAACATGGTAGGAAAAAACTGTTAGAAAGAAATGCGCCATTTCTGAAAAATGGTTTGAGAAAATCGCAAAAGAAAAAAAAACACTGTTTATAAAAAAACAAGCTGCTCATTAAAATAGAAACATTGTCATTGACATCATTATGCATGAAAAAAGTATATTATTATTAGAATTTTTTTACCCGTTGCAACGCACGGGCATTTTTGCTAGTAGAAATACAATTTAGAAATAGCTGAAATTCAGAATTAAAAAATAAGAAATATTAGAAGAGGAGACTAGAATCCATATAGAAATACAATTTAGAAATAGTTAAAATTCGGAATTAAAAAATAAGAAATATTAGAAAAGGAGACTAGAGTCCATATAGAAATACAATTAGGAAATAACTGAAATTCGGAATTAAAAATAAGGAATATTAGAAGTAGAGTATAGAGTTCATATAGAAATACAATTAGTAAATAATAGAAATTTGGAATTAAAAATAAGTAATATTAGAAGTAGAGTATAAGAGTCCATATAGAAATACAATTAAGAAAAAAATAGAAATTCGGAATTAAAAAATAAGAAATATTAGAAGTAAAGTATAGAGTCCATATAGGAATTTAAAACTAACTAAAATTTGGAATAAACATAATAAAATTAAAAGTAGAGTTTTGAGTCCGTATAAAAATATAATTTACAAATAACTAAAATTCGAAATTAAGAAAAACATGGGAAGAAAAGTTTAAAGTCAATATAGGAATACCATTTAAAAGTAACTGAAATTCGAAATTAAAAATTAAAGAATATTGAGAGATGAGTTTAGAGTCCACATAGAAATACAATTAGAAATAATAAAAAATCATAAATAAAAATAAATAATATTGGAAGAAGAGCCATATAGAAATACAATTTACAGAAAATTCAGAATTAAAAAAATATTAAAAGACGAGTCTAGAGTCCATATAGGAATATATATAATTTACAAATAACTAAAATTTGATATTAAAAATAATTAATAAATAACACGTATATAAAATACAATATGAATATTACACATTTGTAGTTTTGCAAAGTTATTACGAAATTTAAAATTATGATGTCATTTTAATATATTTGAATAATATAATGAGAAAACATATATGCTATTATATGAGATAATATAATGATGCTAGCCATGCAATCTGCGCGGGTCACCATGCTATTTTTGTTTTACAAATACACGATTTCAGTTAGCCAAATTGTGGTGTGGTCAATTAAGATTCTTGATGAGTGGGGTCTGTTTGGTTGGGACTAATATTGTGACACATTTTTTTACTAAGGTAGCTAAGCTTAGTCTAGCCATACTTTTGTGGCAAACAAAATGACAAACTAAGCTTAGGCAACGTTTGGCAAGAAAATAGAGTGTATGACATGTGGGCTAGGTGGCTAAGAGTTAGACAAAATAGACTTATGGCAAGAGTCAAATACTACCTACTAAAACTGTGACTTGACTAAGGTTAGATGTGACAAATTTAGTTACCAACCAAACATTATATGCCATTCTGTTCTGTGTTCACTCGCTTGGTTGGAAAGGAAGCTGATCGAACATGTCCTTGCCTCACACCGAAACTTTGCAGTTCAGTACTGTCAGTGCACACCTGTATCCCATCCCTCCATCGATCTGCAGTACGTACGGCAATGTGCACACAATGTCACATGCAGATGCATGTCGTCCAACAACCATTGACACAAACTACTCCAAAGGCTGTGTTTAGTTTACGTTAAAATTGGAAGTTTAGTTAAAATTAGAATGATGTAACGAAAAAGTTAGAAGTTTATGTGTGTAGAAAAATTTTAATGTGATAAAAAAGTTAGAAGTTTGAAGAAACATTTTGGAACTAAACACGGCGAAAGTGTCTCATTTCTTCTTGGCAGCCAAGCATCCTGAGCTGAATACTCCTGTCTGATTCAAGCAACACACAGCTAGCAGCATTCAGATCACAGGAAATGGTACAGGCGTGCACTGACAGTACTGAACACAGGTGTGCACTGACGATTGCGAGCACAATTGTTTCGGTTTCTGAAGAAAGCTGAAGAAAACAACAATGCTAGAGTGCTAGACGGTTCTAATTTATGAGAAATTAGATGAAATTATGGCTACATGCATGTGAGATTCCTGCACCAAACTTTATACATGTGCGGGATGTGCCCAACAACTCCATCCATACTCAATATTTTCAGTGAAGAACAAACGTCTCGCGCTGTTAGATTATGACCAGTACTCCATCATTAATCGTGATTCGTGAAGCTATCACAAACTGATACGGATACTCCCCATGTTCGTCTCTTCCCATCACCAAAAAGCTAGAAAAATTAAACCGTCCTTAAAATACAGGGTGATACCACAATACAGGTATGCTAGGAGCTGATTTGGTTCAATGCTTTATTAAAACTATCTTATTAAAAATTCAGGCATATCTAAGAGTTTCATTTGTTGATCAAAAGCTAATTATAAGCCGTAGTGGCTTATTAGTGATAAAAAAATAATATGCAAAACTCTTGTATATGTGTTCTTCGTGACTTAAAAAGTAATACTGAAAATAATCTATAGTTAAAATATTTTGAAATTAAATT